TAATAATTTTACTTTGTGATAATGTTTTATTTAGTAAAAAATCATTTTGATTTTTAATGTATATGAAAATTTGTCGAATCAATAACAGTTAAATATTATATATAAGTGAGATTAGTCTTTGATCAATTAAATAACTATTAAGAATATATTTAAATTTAATTTATTAAGTATTTCTTATTCATTATTATTTCTTAAAACACATGGCCAAGGGTGTGGATCCCTAAATTTATTTTACAGACTGTATCCACAAATCTTATTCATTTGATCTTGTACTTGTCAATGAGATAGGGATATAATTGTTCGAGGGTGCTCATTGTGATAGAAAGTGCTCACACGGATTTGATAATTTTGTTTCAAAAATTGGTAAGTTAATCCTATACCAATAATATAATAAGAACCTAAAATCGTGATAGCATTGACCTTTTCTGTGTAAAAGGAAAAAAAATTATATGCAATTATTGTGATCTATATTAAACCGAGGGCATGCGCACTGCTATTTCAATTAAGAGTTTCAATTAATGGTAATCATGACTACTAATATAAAGTAAACAATATTTAATATAACGATTGAAATTTACACATTTAACGATGGAATATTTATTAAAATTTAATGAGTTAATCACTTATACATTATTAATGTAAAGTTTTTTAATATTGATAATTAATCATATTTTTTAATACTACCATGTCATTTGTTTATTTAATTAAATATAAATAAATAAAATAATTTAAAAGATGTGATTAGTTGTCAGTGTAAAAAACTTTACACTAGCAATTTATGGATGATTAACTCTATAATAATACTAGTGTAACTTTTACTAAGTATTATACTACTCAATAACTTTATATTAAATATGAATTTTGAAAATCCAACCGTTAGATTGAAATTTCTTTATTCTTAGATCATACATACAAATTTTATATTAATCCAAGATGATTTGATACTTCATTTTTATAAAACAAAATTAACGTAATATATTCATTTCAAAATTCACTAAAATATGAACATTTTAATTACCTTCAAGTTGTTTTTCAATTTTAACAAAACTTTATATAAACATATAAAGTGATACGCATATGAATCAAGCACCAATTTAGATCAAATATCATTCATATATGAACCAACTCTACAACCTAGTATCATACTACTTTAAACAACCTTTCAATTCACATGATAACACCTTAAAACATCAAAACAGTATACTCCCCCCTTTAACAATTGTCAAAGAAAACAACACACAACGAGTTATACTCATCCAAATAAGCTCAAACCTATATTAAAAGAAATATAAGAGGATAATCTACAACTTTTATGAGTACATAAAATTCTAAAAAAATCATCTACTTAGCTAACAACTTCAAAAACCGCAACAAATATAGTTCATGTTGACAACTTGACCCATGTTCACTAAAACAACCATAACTAGAGTTCTAGACCTCTTTTTTAGGTGATTCCAAAGCCATTGGAAAACTAACATCCAAAGCTACAACTTTTATAAAGACAACAAAGCCTAATTCTGAAAGAAATAAACCGCTTCCAAAGTGCTTACCACTTTACCTCTACAAATTCTCCTCTGCCACGCGCTCTTGAAGGGCTCAACTCTTCAAAAGCGCTCAGCCCTTTCAAAAGTGCTCAGCCATTTCTAATGGCTTAGCCCTTTGCCTCCAGGAATCCCTCCCTGTCACACGGCCTCCAAAGGGCTCAGCCTTTTCAAACGACTGAGCCGTTTGATGACAGCGGGCCTCCACACCTGAAACTCAAAAAATTCAACATGCAACCCCTAGAATCCATCCCTGCAACTGCAGATTTCAGAGACTGTATCAATAATAAGCTTTTAATTCATTCAATAGTTCAATGATTCAATCAAAATCCAGTGTTCTAGCTTCCCTTACGAATCCTAACTCACAGACACATTTCCAATGATTTAATCTCTCTCCCAAAACATCAATTTTAACAATTCTTCATATATTTATAATCATAAACACATACAGAATCTCATAATACCAATAATTCTCTAGGCAAAACAATGATAAACTTATTAAAAATTCCAAGGGAACTCTTCTCTACCCATTCCCTCATGTGACTTTACACAAATCTCTTTTTTTTCCTCGTACCTGATAATGCGAATCCGAATAGTCTTGGTGTGATCTGAGATCATTCCTGAATACTCTTCCTCAGAGCTCTTCATTGTTAAGTCAGACGAAGCCCATTCGCAATTCCTACCGAGGTTTTGAATATGACAAATATAATACATATTGTTACTCCTAACATGTGCATTAGTATTTCAGATGGATAATAATAAGTTCAGGAAAAAATGAAGGACAAAGTATGATCAAGCATAATCGCATTGAACAAGACATCAGATGGTAGCAAAGCTAGTATCAAGACTAAGGTTGATTTAGGCCTAAATCAAATACAAGATAAGACGAATCTATCAACTAAAGCCTGAGGGATCAAATGCAAGACCAAAACAGGCACCATATGAGACTAAGTCAAAAATGGGATGAAAGTTGGCTAAACATCAACATGGATTTGCAAAATCATCAGATGAAGCCTAACGAACAAGCAGACGAAGTCATCACTCTTATGACCAGACATAAAGGGTAGTCAAGACCAGACGAAGAATCAAAACTAAAATGTGTATCCAGACGCAGTCGGAAAATAATGAAGCTCGTCTGAAGTGTAATAATCACATTGAGTGAAATCATACAAGAAACATAAAAGGACATCAAACCTGAATATAGAAAGAAGAAAAATAAGCAGGCGTGGATTCACAGGTCAAAGTTGCATGTGTCAAAAAAAGGACACTTACTTTTCAGAGAAAGATAGTACCTCAGCAGCTAAACTGATGAGAAAAGTACAAATATGCCTAGATTATGATTGAAGTCAGACATTGAAATAATCAACTACATAGAAGGACTTCACGTATACAAGCAAACATTTAATGCATGATCAAATGCATTAAATGAAAAGATTTACATAGCCACGAAAAAAAAACCTCCATCTACAACGACATGAAGCTCCGCTCCAAAGGGAAAATTTGAATTCAAACAACGGCCATATTTATCAACTGTCTATAAGTATCAAGACAAAGAAGAAGAAGAAGTAGAGAATTGAGAAGTAGAGAAAACGTGCAATAAGAAAAAGAAAGCAAAAAAGCATAAGCTACATTTCTTCTCAAAACATTTCCTGTATATCTGTGTAAAAACTAAGATACCTAATCTTAGTGAGTGTTGCTAATATTTTATCCTCTCTATGAGAGTAAACAAAACACTCAGACACTTATTCTTGTAAAACAAGGTTACGCACCTTAGTGAGTGTAGAAACTATCCTATCCTCTCTGTGAGAGTTGCAAACACACTCAACACCTTCATTTGCTGTAAAGCCTGAAGAGGCTGGTTGAAAGAATACTTGTGAACCAGAAGTGGTTTGAGAATACTAGCGCTAGTGAGTGAAGCTAGCGGGCTAGAAGTGGTCAAGAATACTTGGAGAACTAGAAGTGGTTAAGAATACTAGCGTCGACAAGTGAGGTTGACAAGCCAAAAGTGGTTGAAAATACTTGTAATCCTCTGTGATTAGTGGAACCGATTGAGTGAACCAGTATAAAAATCTGTGCATACCTTTTTCTATTTCTCAAACACTACTTGTTTAAAAACTTCGTTTTTCATCTACTTTCATTTCAACAAACTGTTAGACGAAAACACACTTATCCACTATTTTTGAAGAAACAATTTTTTTTGGACAATAAATCTTTTCAGACGGAAAACATATTTACTCAACGTGTTTCTTGAAACAGACGATCAGTTTTATTGGACACAAAAAGTTTTCTAGTTAGACAAGCCTGCACAAGTTTTTAACAGTGCTTGAATATTCTTTTTATTAAAAGAAAAAGGAGTATCTTTACAAAATGATTTTGAAAAATCTTCCTTCAAACACACACATTCAACTCCCCTTTCTGTGTGTATTTCCGCTAACTTCATTTGTTTCTCCTCTCCCTTCTCTTAGTCCTTCCAAAATTTCCAAAATGAAAACTGATGAGGGTTAATCTGCTAACACTTCCTTTTCATACCTTCGAGTCAGGTCAACCCAACCTAACTCAATTCCGACCCGTTTCTCATTCCTTTCCAAAACAATTATGAAATAAATAATAATAATAATAATAATATAAAATATATTTCTCTTCAAGCCGAAATGCATACCAAATGTAAAGCTAATTACATTCTAATGCAAATACACATGCAACCTAAAATAAACCCTAAATTCAAATGACCATTAAATGGTAATCCTAATCTAAATGGCCGGAAATAGAAGGCCTAAAAGAAATACAAGACCCTAAGGCCCAATCCTACACTACTCCTACTCTAGTTGGGCTTGAGTCAAAGCTCAACTAAACAATGTGATGGGCTTTCCTTGAGCTTGGGCCCACTCCTCTTGGATCCTCTTTGCCATAGCCCTAGTAGTTGGGCCCTTGGCCCATGGGCCTCCTCCATCACTATAAGGGATTAGATATACTTGACCAGCTTCTTAATACTCCCTCCAAGCTTTACAAATTAATTGATCTTTAAAGAAAAATTGCAAGAATTTAAACTAATCCTAAAACAAAGTTGTGACGGCTTTAGTCACTTTAGTGACGGATTTGTTTGTCCAAATTTTCCAGCACTTGTTTAAGTGCTTTAATCCGCCACTAATCCTGCTCCTTGATGCTCATTGAACCTGCACAAATAACACCAACAATAGATGATCTTAGGTTGCTCCCATATTGAAAAGAAAGTTTACAACTATCTAATTAAGCTCAACAATATACATATATTTCTAAAGCCTATAATTAAGCATAAATGGAGTAGGAATTAGCTACATTTGGAATAAAAGATACCTCCAAAAAACCATAAAAAAATAAGTACCCATTTTGGAAAACTGGGGTGTTACAACTAGCAGGGCCCCCACCCATGTCTCCGAGGGCCAAGAACCCTTCCGCGGTCATCCTTTTGTGGACAGCATCATGGAGACCCCACTGCCCCGCGGGTGGAAGCCCCTCCACCTCGACCGCTACGACGGCACCACGGACCCCGACGAGCACATCGACTCGTACACAACTCAGGTAAACCTCTACACTAATAGTGATGCTATATTGTGTAGGGTTTTTCCGACCTCGCTCAAGGGACCCGCGCTCCATTGGTACACCCAACTACCGGCCGGATCCATCGACAGCTTTGGCACCCTGGTGCGGCGATTCATGGCACAATACGCCACCAGTCGACCTCACCACACAACCTCGACTGCCTTGGCCAATCTCAGGCAGAACGACGATGAACCTCTGCGAGCTTTCATGGAGCGCTTCTCCAACATCTCGGTTCGAATCCGAAATCTCAACCCGGAGGTCGCCCTGCACGCCATGCTCATGGCACTGAAGCCCGGATCATTCGTCGACAGTCTATGTCGTGATGCCCACCGCGACATGAACGAACTGCGTGCCCGCGCCGCCGGCTACATTCAGATGGAAGAGCACTCGGCCTTCCGCGACCAAGTTCGCGGGAAGGGTCCCGCAAAACCGGAACAGGGTCACAAAGATAAGGTAAAAGTCAATAATGACAGCCAATTCAAGAAGTCGGCCAGGGCAACCAGAGGCGGGAGGTATGACTTCTACACTCCCCGGAACGCCCCAAGAGTCCACATCCTGGAGGAAGCCAGTAACAGTAACCTACTAGCCCTCCCACCACCCGGCCACACTCCCAACAGCGCCGATAAGTCCAAGCACTGCCGGTGCCACAGGAACTATGGCCACACCACGGACGACTGCCGCACGCTCTGGGATCGCATCGAAGAACTCATCCAGGCAGGCCACCTCGGCCAGTACATCCAGCGACAGCAAGGTTCCCGAGGAGGCTCTAGAGGCCGGGGACGCGGGAGAGGCCGCGGGTCAGGAACTCCCACAGACTTACCCACAGGGTCCCATCAAAATGCCAATGACGCAGTACATGCCGAAATAGGTCAGGAGACAGAATCAGCCCCCTTGCGGGGAATAATCAACACAATCGCAGACGGCTTCGCCAAAGGAGGCGCCAGCAGCTCGGCCCGGAAAAGACACCTTCGAAGTATCAACTGCTTCCACTCCACCGCCTCAATCTCGCACAAGAGCTCGCCACCGATCTCTTTTTCCGATGAGGACTATGCAGGAATCAGTCCTAACCAAGATGATCCCATGGTCATCGTGGTAGAGATCGCCAACTGGGAAGTACAAAAGACGCTCATCGACCAAGGGAGTTCGGCCGACGTCCTGTACTGGCCAACGTTCCTCAGGCTAGACGTCCCCCATTCTCTCATCCAACCACACACAGAGCCCCTAGTTGGCTTTGCCGGCGAACGGGTTCACACCCGCGGATACGTGGATCTGCTGACAACCTTCGGAACACCTCCGGATGCAAGGAGGGTCATGGTTCGATACCTCCTCGTGGAGGCCAACACCTCCTACAACATCATCATCGGGAGGCCGACCCTAAACCACCTCGGTGCGGTGGTATCCACTCCGCACCTCACCATGAAATTCCTAGGGAATGACGGTAAGATTATCTCCGTCAGAGCAAACCAAAAGACAGCTCGGCAATGCTACGCCGAGAGCCTGAGGATCTCCTCGTCCGGCAAGGAAAGCAAGGGGAATCCCCCCACCGCGCCCCATTAGATTTTGTTCCCCCTCTATGTATAAACGAAATCGTGCACTCTTTTCCCGCCTTAGTCCCAAACTGAGAGGGTTTTTAACGAGGCACACAAAATTAATTAATAATATTCTCCATTTTGCTCAACCCATCTTCTTACTTATTACTTTCTTACCTATGGTAAAAATCGAAATTGAACCACCCTTCTTCACGTAAACCCGAGGTCGAATACGAACCCCGATATTCTCATCCGAGGTCGAATACGAACCCCGACATTCTCGTTAAAGGTCGAGTACGCACCTTCATCAAATCTTTCACGTACACCCGAGGTCGAATACGAACCTTGGCATTCTCATTCGAGGTCGAATACGAACCCCGACATTCTCGTTAAAGGTCGAGTACGCACCTTCATCAAATCTTTCACGTACACCCGAGGTCGAATACGAACCTTGGTATTCTCATTCGAGGTCGAATATGAACCCCTACATTCTCGTTACAGGTCGAGTACGAACCTTCATCAAATCTTTCACGTAAACCCGAGGTCGAATACGAACCCCGGTATTCTCATTCGAGGTCGAATACGAACCCCGACATTCTCGTTAGAAGTCGAATACGAACCTTGATCAAATCCTTCACGTAAACCTGAGGTCGAATACGAACCCTGGTATTCTCATTCGAGGTCGAATACGAACCCCGGCATTCTCGTTACAGGTCGAGTACGAACCTTCATCAAATCTTTCACGTAAACCCGAGGTCGAATACGAACCCCGGTATTCTCATTCGCGGTCGAATACGAACCCTGGCATTCTCGTTAGAAGTCGAATACGAACCTTGACCAAATCCTTCACGTAAACCCGAGGTCAAATCAAACATGTAAAACCGAGGTCAAGCATGAACCTCAATATTCTTAGCTAAGGTCGAGTCCGAACCATAACCAAATCAACTTGCTTGAGAGCCCGAGGCTGAGGTCGACAACGAACCTCGACGCCTTCGTAAAAAGTCGAGTCCACACCTTCATTCATCTGAGTCTGAGGTCGAGTACGAACCTCAATATCCCCACTTAAAGGGTGGAGCCGAACCCCCATTAGCCAGTATGCCAATTCGAAGGGGTATGCGAACCCCCAACATGCAAATTCGAGGTCGAATGCAAACCTCGATATCCTCACAAGGTCGAGTTCGAACCTCAATCAAACCTTTCACCTATCACCCCGCCACGTCCCCCAACCCATAACCCGGGGGCCGAGCATGAACCTCAATATCCCCACCTAAAGGTCGAATTCGAACCTTCACTATATCGCTCACCTCACACCGAGGTCGAAGCACAAACCTCAAGCATGTAAATCCGAGCTCGGGTACGAACCTTAAGTATGTAACTCCAAGGTCAAGTATGAACCCAATATTCTCACCTAAGGTCGAGTTCGAACCATAGCTGAATCGTCTACTCAAATCCAAGCCCAAATTGCGATACGCCCCATTTCCAAGTCAAGCACAAACCAAAACCGAGGTCGCGCACGGACCTCGAAACCTTCATGAACGGTCAAGACCATTTACGCAAATACGAGGTCGAATGCGAACCTTAGGCAAGTAAAGCTGAGAACGAGTGCGAACCCTGACGATCACGTCAAAAGTCGAATACGAACCTTAATGAAGTCACCTCACTCATATTCGAAAATGAATACAAGCCATAAGTGCACTTAAAGCCAAGAATAGAGCCATCACCAACCCGCTTCACTTAAAGCCGAGGTCAATCTCAAACCCCGACCCGATCAACACAAGGCAAAGACACCACCATGCACGAAAAACACACAACAGACGCCAAGCGAAGGCCTAAAAGCAGACAAACAATAAAAACCCAAGACAGGTCCAGAGCACACCAGGTGCATCGGACATAAGCCTTAGAACACACAAGTGTCGAAAAATCAAACACAGCCGCGAAGGAAGAAAAAACACATATATACATAAATTCACAACTAGTTCAATACATGAATCCAAGAAAACGAAACAAAAATTACAAAGGCAGCCTAGGCGGAGGCACTTTCACTAGAACTGTCGTTGACATCGTCCTCCTGAACCAGCCTCCCAAAGCGGACCACCTTCTACACATGCGTGGAGGAGAAGTCGAACCCAGGAGCAAGAAGTCGTGCCTGACGAGCAGCCTTCTGAAAGCCCCTCTTATGCTCCGCCACGACGGAGCGCTCCACCTCGGTGAGCCTCCCCTCCACAGCCGCCTTCCCCGTCGCCAGCTCCGCGAGCTCTACCCTCAGGGCGGCGATCTCATCCTCCCGGCCGCCCAGAACGACCTCACTGCGGAGACGCTCCTCAGCCGCCACCGCCAACTCTCCTTTGAGAGAGGTTACATGATGGAGCTAAGTTGAAGAAGATTGATGAACTTCAACTCCTCCATGCTTGGACCGAATATTCTTGAGGTTAATCCCTTGGTGAAACTTGAATCTCCATGAAAGAAGCTTCCATGGAGGAGAAGCCTTGAAGAGGAGGTTCGGCCACTTCCTAAAACTTGTGAAGGAAGATTGTTGAACCAAGGCAAAGTTGAAGAACTTTGCTAGAAACCTTAGAGTGTAGGTGCTCACGGTTTTGGTGACTCTTGTTTGAGAGAGAAAATTCAGATTTTATTTCTCATATTTGACAAAAGTGAGTACAAGTGTAGGAAAATCAAATATATAGGGGAAGGTAGCTTGTAGGAGAAGCTAACCTTAACCATGGTTCACTAGGAACCATGGTAGGGTTAGTTAAACTCCCACGGTTTAGCTAGCTTGTAGGAGAAGCTAATCCTTGACCATGGTTCACTTAAGAACCATGGTAAGGTAAGCTAACCTTACTTGAGTTTAGAAGCTTGCAAGACAAGCTTCAAAACTCAAGAAGGTTTACTTAAGAAATTCGGCCAAAGAGAAAGAATGAGCTAGGCGGCCCATGGTTCAAAATGCTCCATGAATTAATTTGAAAATCTTTGATTTGGTTTAGTTAGGTTCATCATATGATGATGAAACCTAGCTAAATCAAATCTATGAAAAATTAGGAGCAAAATGAGTCCAATATGCAAAATTTTGCCTAGGCCCAACTCAGGCCCAATTTCTAAGCACACCCTCAAGCATTGCTAAATGTCACCCCCTTTTCCCTACTGAAAAAATACAAAATGAAAGTATCAACTAGGGAGGTTAAATGGAGTTAAACTCTCCAAGTAGCCCACCTTAAAATCAATATACAAACACTAGAAAAAGCAAGTAAAGTGCCTCACAAATACAAAGGCAAAAATAACCTATACAAAAGACTATGTACAAAATATATGAAAAAGGTCTTTAAGATCATCTCATTCCTCTTGGTTCTTTTAAGGTATCACCTCTTGGATTCCTTGGCCTGGGCCATAGTCTATCATTACAACATCCTCCAGGGCCCGCACCTGGTCACGGGAAGACATCACCTCATCCTCCAGAGAGCGCGCGCGCACCCGGGAGAAGGCGGCGAGCTCCCGCAGCTCCCCCACCTGAGAAGCATAAGTCTCATTAGATCGCAATGCAATCTCAAGAGACTTCTTCACCCGTGAAAGGTCGCCACGCGCAGTCTGGAGCTCGGCCTCCCTCCGCTTCGCCTCATCGAGGGCCGCGCTCAGAGCTTTGTTGTCCTCCCTCAGAATCTTGTTCGCCTCCTTCCACGGTTGAAGGCGGCCCCTCATCTTAGCCAGCTCCTCTTGCTGCTTGGCCAGATCTTCCCACTACTGGCCCCACTTAGGCTTCCAGTGGCTCACTATGCCCATCACCCTCTGCAGCATGACCTGGACAGCATCAAAGCTCTCCTCGGGACCGACCCTGTCAACCAATCCCCGGTCCTCGGAGCTCAGCGAACCCTAAGGGAAGAACCCCTCCGCAGTCACCCCCGCGCTCCACAATGAATCCATGTCGACGGAGGCGCTCACGTGATCCAGCCGCACCTTATCTATACCCTTCCCAAAGCGATGGGATAGGTATCGAGTCCGGGCAGGCTCCTCCGACGAGCCCGCCTGCGGTGCCGAATCCGCGGCAGAGGTCGGCGCTCCCTGCTCAGCACCTAAAGAGTCCACTTTAGGGACCTCCGGCCCCGCCTGCAAAAACCAGTCCCACGTCAAAAATAAACAAGGTGACGTACGAGAAACCACGGAAACAAGAAGACCAAACACCACCCACCTCAGCAGCCTGGGCAACTAGCCCAGCAACCTGCACCTCAGGCTCAGCGACATTCCCCGCCTGCACCTCAGGCTCAACGGCATTTCCCGCCTGCACCTCAAGCTCAGTGGCATTTCCTGCCTGCAAAAAAACCACCCAGATCGGACAGCCGGACAACATAACAAAAGGCAAAGGGAAAGTCCGAGAAAGACGATACTCACCACCTTGGCAGCTCGGACAGCCTGCCCGGCAGTCCGGGCCTCCACCTCGGCAACGCCAGCCTCGCCCTACAAGGGGACCCATCCCGCCTCAGCAAGCTAAAACGAAGCTAACACGAAAAATGCAAGCAAAAAAAAAAAATAGAATACTTACCTCGGCGTCCCGCGCAGTGGGCCCAACACTCTGCGCCGCCTCCCCCATAACCACCGGAGAAGCCTCCTTGGCCGGAAGACTCTCAGTGAGATCCACTGCGTCCACAACCCTGGAGGTTACCTCCTCAACATCGCGAGGGGCGGAGGTACCCCCAACCTCCTTCTCCCCCATTTTCCTCTTCCGGTGTATCTTCAGGGGGTGACATCCTCCTCCGGAGGCTCGGGAACCTCAAGCTCAGTAACATTGTAGCGGTGCTTAAGCTGACGCCACAAGTTTCTCCCCATAATGCCTGCACAGAAGAAACAGAAGCACATCAATAAGAGGCAACCACACAAGCCCTAATAACCTACCAAAACGCGCAATACTCACTCTCAAGGCCCCTCTCCCTGTAAGGCGAATTTGCAAGCGACAAAACGAGCTTGCAATTCAACGGACGAGGAAGCGCGACAAGATTTTTAACGGCGGCCGCCTCCGCGGCCGTCACCTTCAGATCCCTCAAA